ACTGATTTCAACTTAGACTCCTGTTATTACATTTCTTGTAGCTTTTGGATTTACAGATAATTATAGAAACATTCTCTCCCTTTATTCTTTCCTAACAAGTAGCTGTACCTTTAATCAAATATTACATGACAATAAGGAGATGAATTTGTGTAAATATATGTTCACTTAATAAGTGAAAATATTGTACGAAGACATATAGGCAGATATAAGTATTTTGTCTTTACCTTCCAAAGTCTTTTCCATTGTTAACTATTTTTAAAATTACTCAGTGCGAAGTAGACTTCTTTACTGAATGTAAATTATGGTTCATCTTCATTGCCAAATTATAGTTGAGATGTTAGGAAAGAAAACAAATTAGTGGAAGAAAGCTTTACCTCACCTTAGATGGGACAAACTCATGAGAAACGACCAGTAGTCTTTTCCAATACGTGCATTAACAAACCACAATAGCCAGAGTTGACTTATGGCCTCACAAACCCATCCAGAATCTGCAGTAGGTGAAAGATATAGTAAAGAATAAACACCCCGTTCTCTTTTCCTCCCCACACACAGCCATCTTTCTTTTTTCAACCAACTCACCCCTTTTTTCTTTACAACTCTAGTCTTCCCACAAAGAGCTCCCTAACTCTGATCGCTAATATGAAAGAACCCCTTTCAGCAAGCGGTCTTGTTCTAATAAAAAGGGAATGTTTGGTTAATGTACCTTAAGGTTTGCTTAGTTTCACCTCCGTCTGTCCTTTCAAATATTTCCCCAAACAAAAATTGTAAATCACCAACAGAAAATGAAGACTTACAAGATGTTTACAAAGTACAGACTATTCATTTTGATAGGCTTAATATTATGTCATCATAAGCAATTGAAATTTTATTGCGTGTTATTAATAGACGCTTGAGACACCTAGTTTAGTGCAAATAGTAGGTTCAAGCCATACGTTCTATGACACTGAACGCTCATATTTCTTCAACAATAAGTTGTACACAAATATATGTCAATTTTCGTACAATACTAGCAGGTAAGTGTACCTGATGGACTGTAAATAATACAAAATACTATTTCCCAGGTCTGTCTATGTTACTTTACTTTTCCTTTAGATACAAATAAGTTTAACAGAAGCACAACTCGATTTTAACTCTTGTCTCCAGACTAACACAGATAAGGTGTCTTTCTAGTAGAGAAATTTAGAGTTTTGATGCAGAGATATTGTAATTAATGTTGCCACAGTATTTAAAAATTAATGTACTAAAGTATATGGTTGTTTGTGTTATGCTATTTCTCCACACAGGGTCTAATTATTTTATACTAATAACACTCAGGTGATTTACTAAATGTTTAATAATGAAGATCCCCGACTAATTTAAGTTACAGAGAACCACTTGTAGCATTCCATTTTATGAGCAATTCTCACGAGCGGCGAAAGCGATATAAAACTACGTAATCTCCATCCCACAGGTTCCTAAACACAAATAATTACAATAAAAATTAACTCGCTTACGTAGTTTATATTTAAGTTAACCAACCGAGAAACTGGAAGAAGTTATGACATTACATCGGAACTATTGATACAGATTCAGTTCACTATTTTCTGGAGACAAGATCCTTGAATAGGGCAAGAAACCACAAACACTACTTTAAAAGCTTTATTTTCGTGACCATGTAATATTTGTGTACTAAATATTATCTTGAAGTCGACAGGCTATCGCTGATTGTTTATCGACAAAACAGATTCCCAACAGCGTTACAAAAACTAATTCAACTGGATATTAACAAACACTATGGTTTAAGAAAAAGATGAATAACATTGCTTTTTCTCGAAAATAAACACAAACGACATCTGTAATAAGTTCAGTCAAAATTTTATAAGGTAAATTTTAATAAGAACTGCATTCGGTTTATATATAACGTTTCTCTTTATAACTGGAATCATTCTATAAATATTTTCCATAGAAAAGAATTACATATTTATGTTACTTTTAAAAACCTATACACGTAATTCAGTTTGAAACGCAATTAATTTTCAAAATTATAATACTTTAAAATTTTATTAAATCAAAACGGCATCCGACAGCATTATTCAGAGTTATCTACGTATATAGGCTATATTTAGACCCAAGAAAGGGGAGGTAGCAGGGCGAGTATGGCTGAAATCGCATGGATCTGCATAATTTGTAAGCTTTCACCAAATATTATAAGACTGAAGAAAGCAAGAGGTATGAAATAAGACGGATCTAATAAATAATCTACAACTTTTAGCAAATGCATACAGAATTTCAGTTGTAAACCTTAGAGGCAAATGTCATTTAGGAGACCTTGATATAGATGACAGGATAATATAAAAACTTCTATTAAATTAGCGTATGAGGTTGTGAGTCACAATTTATCTGACTCAGGATAGGGTTCAGTGGAGGGGTATCGTGAACACGGTAATTATTTATCGATTTCCATAAGAGGCTAGGAATTTCTTGATCAACTGAGCGACTGTCAAGACTCTGTTCCATGCAGTTAGGTATTCATAAAACTGTAAGTAAGTAGCATCCCGCCCCGGCCGTGCTTTGCCCCCGGGAAAGGATCCCGGTACCCATTGGACATTAGGCTGGGTGGGCCCCAGAGCCGGTCTGGACGCAGAGCCTAGAGGAAAAATCCTCTGCTCCCGTCGGGGATCGAACCCCGGTCGTCCAGCCCGTAGCTAATCACTATACTGATTGAGCTATCCCGGCTCATATTCATAAAACTGTAAAGAAGCCAACCCTGTCGCATTGATTCTGCGTCACCTGTACCATAAACCATAAGCCTGATACGAGGAATAATGGAAACTTTGTAATAAATAGCTGTAATCTCCAACTTTTTCATTCTACTCTGTCTCTTTCATGAGGCTAACAACACATATGACTGAGTGTGTGGCATACACACATGCTCTGGTTGTGACTGGCTCTGCTAGGTGATGAAACAATATGTTTCGTGTCCCCATCTCCACACACATTGTCACATATGATGAGCGACTTGGCACGTTTGTTTTAATCACTTGCCCATTAGCGACTCGTATGGTCCACACCACCACCAGGCCTCTGTGTGTGATGGTGAAAAACCTTTCCATCTCTCCAAACATTACACGGCTGAGCAATGCGATGCGCACTAACTACACGGTGACTCTTAAACAGTGTTCCTATGTTTCAAATCAGTTACCGATTACACTCAGCAAGCAGTTATGGGCATGAAGATTTCTGTCTTCTGGGTTGTTGCGCTGTGTTGTCTGGTCGATGTTAACCAACGTTTCAGAGGTCATACTGTCTCCGTTATCAGGGCGATAAATCACCCTGATGACTGAGGCAGTATGACCTCTGAAACGTTGGTTAACATCGACCAGACAACACAGCGCAACAACCCAGAAGACAGATATCTTCGTACTCATACTCTTCATTTCCCTGTAATTCAAATGTAACATTCTACAAATCTTGTTACCTTAAGGTAATGTATGCTTATAATATAGCAATATTATAATTTCTCTTATGTGTAAACGGCCTTGAGAAGGAATTCAGTGAAGTTGGTATTGCTTAAGATTTTAAATACGTATAAACAAATTATTATTATTATTATTTCATTGGTGAGGGGCGGCTTTTTATACAAGAGCAGACTGTGACTGAGTAAAATTTGTCAGATATTACATCAAAGTTTGGAGTCATTACCATATTTGTAATTGACGACCTTTTTATTTTTAAGAAATGATCTTATATTATAGTTATAATGCATTTTCACGCCAAATTCATTAATGATTTTCAAACTAAAAGCTAGATGAACATTTTCAAACGGCCTTCATGTAGAACTTTTCAATTAAAGAAGACTTAACAAATATTTTTTTGTTATGTCTTTGTGACGTCTCACTATACGTAGTATTAGGACTCTAGGTTGCACCTCATATTACAATAAGTACTACAATTTATTAATAATTGTATGAAATTAAAAGGTTATAATTTTAGGGGGTTTGGTTTGGATTCTTTGATGTTTTCTCGGTGGCGAGTATAAAGATGACTGAGGCTGTGAGAACTTGACATCTCAATTCGATAATTTTGTTCACGCTTTTTAAAAATATTCTCTTGTAGAGAAAGGAATAGGTGAAGTTACTTTCTGTGAATAATATAGTCAATGTGTGTTTCTTCTGTTTACTTACTTTAAAATCGGCGTAAGAAAATGAGATAATTATAGCTGATGGCCGTGTGTTACAACTACCTGGAAGGGTCGCTGCGATAGCACTGCGCAACCTGAAAACAAATCATTTCATTATACAACGTTCTATTCATCGCCAGCAGGAAAGGTCAATGTCCGAAATTGTTAGCAATTAAATTTTCTTCTAGTTCGTAAATTACTGACCACATCAAAAAAATCTTTCGAATTAAAGTTGTAGACTGAAATTATATCTACATTATACGTGGTACAAATCCATTTGAATAATCAGCATTTCTGAGAATACGGATAAAGATTAATTTGAATGCCATATAAAGTAGGCTTAATATTTGACTCACACAAATCAAAATTAAATTAAATCTACCTGTTTGAATGTAGACACCAAGTAGACTATTTACTATAAATCGATTCAGTGGTACTGAGGCAATACAAGTTGGAAACTTTCATTACACCCACTTTGAACAAAGAACACATAAAAATCAGTAAAAAACTAACTGATTCAAATATTATTTCAAGAGTTATTAAATATTTACTTATCAATGATGTGGCATGGAAAGGTGATGAAAATAAACAATTTCGCCTATATCTGTGTATTATCTACTGACGTTATTGAATCAGCAAACAGTTTAACAACACACATATTATTCTAATCTATTTTAAGCAACTTGCCACTTACACACCCTGTACCAAAACCAATATTTTACCTTTCATCATCCACTTAAAATGTTTATATTTATAAAACCCATTCGCAATATATAACTTATGGATAGTTCTTTTACTAGCATCAACTGTAAATTTTCCACCACCCCCAACCACACAAACTCGTATTTATAAAAATATATGCAGAGCTTAAATATTCCAAATATAAACATATAGAGCGTAGAAGTCATCAATTTGTTGACGGCTCCCACATATCATCCTATATAACACTCCACATACTCCACACATATGCTTCACAATTAGTCACATACGTCTGTCCACACTCTCTCGTTCAATTATGACGGTCAGTTCGTGCCAGCCTACTATCTAGCAGTGTCATACCTACAGCCCTTTTTCATTTACCCCCTTCTCCATCTGTATGTATTACTCCCACTAAACCCCTTTCATAACCATGATACCATCTCGCTACATCGACCCACTGATAAAAAATGTCTCTTGACATAATCTAATTGATACACTGTTACGGAGTTCTGAAATACAGAAACAATTTTACAGCAGATGCTTCTAGTTTACTGTACAAGAATAGAATTATATTGAACGTAACCAGAAAAAGTTTTGCAGAGTTACGTAATAACAGAGTTTTTAAATATTGTAATGTATAGAATTACAATGACGTCTTAAATAACTTAAAATTGAACACAGCGAATGAGAGACCGAGTTGCTTTAATGTATTATTCGTACGGAACTTTACACGGGATTCATGACATAAAATTTACTTTTCGGAAACACTTAGTATCAGAGTTTTAAACAAAAACTTAAGAGAGACTTTATTTCCACACATCTTTTTGACGCTGAAAGTCTACTGTTCTCTGTACCTTAGCTGCCAATGGGATTTGTAACACATCGAATGTTGACATAAAACTTTTGTTGAATCCAATTAATCCTAACTACCACTTTTGATAATTTCATCATTATTATACACTGGAATGCTTCATTAAAACTATATCATATATTTTCTTGTTTTTGTTCCTTGTGTTTAATTTCCTTGTCCTGTTTTCTTGGAGATTAAGAAGGACCTAAAAAAATCTTTGGAAACACAATTAATATCATTCATATCTGCACGGCGCGATCACGTAGAGACAGGTCCACATCTGTACTGAACCGTTCTGGAAGCTTAAAATCTAACAAAACAATTAACGATATTATTTTAATATTTAATATTATTCTTTTAATAGATATTAAACAAAATTCACAAAGACTTCCTACATAATTCTGACTAATTTGGAATCAGTAATCACGGCTTATGTTTTTATAAGTTCGTAATTTGATGCGAAGAATGTTAAAAGCCACAAAACAGAGCTTGTAAAAAGTTCTTTCTGACAGCATTCTCACAAGCGTCTTTCTGAATCTATCTGCATACATGGAAGTTGGATTGCATGGCATGTGACAGCCTTCGCCTTGAATCGACTAGATGAAACTCTTCAATGAATGATGGTACGACATGGAACAAGAACAAAATGGGTGAGAGAAAGGAGGAGGAGGTGTGAGGGTGAATTGAGATTCGAATTTCAAATTCTAGTAGTTGTTACGTGCATGGAAACTGCTGGTAGCATGCCGAACTCGGGGGAGGTGGAAATGTGGAGACGGTACGTTATTTTTAGATGTTGATTGTTCAGGTAGTAGTGGGGAGAGATTTCGGCGCCATCATGTCATCACGGAACGCTGTAACTCTCTGAATTACAATCATGAAGTTGTGATGACTCCCATTACCTAACAATATCTCTGTCTCTGCGCATTTAACGAAACTCTTGAGTATAAGAATCATTATGGAAAGGAATATTTATTTACGGAATCTCTTGTCAGTTGCACATTCAGAACCCCCATTGGCTAGGGCGCTACAAAAGATCGGATTTGCTACGAAGCAGCCCTGAGAATGAGAGCAGAGTTTGTTCTCGAAACGTTGGCAGAAGGTGTGATTTATTCACCATTCAGCCAACTGACGCTGCTTTTAACCCGAGAGTATTTCATCAAATTAGTTTATATATATTGTGCATCATACGAGATGGTTCTCAGGACAACTGGAAGACTTAAATTTAAATAAAGTATCACGTTCGAAATTTTTGCATTAGGAAAGAGTCAAGTACATATGTATATATTGCAGGAAATGTGCTTATCTCAACATTCCCGGCCCCTTCGCTCTGTGATTGCTTCTAGATTTTAAATCCGTGAATACTTTCTTATAAGTAGCATAAGTGGTCATGGAAGGCTGTGAACTTTGACCTTAGCAGATAGCATCAGTGTTATCTCAGTTGTCGGGGCCATCTAACTTTGCGTCGGCTTATTCTCCGGCAACTGTCTGACCAAGGATTTCCCCATGTAATTTCAAGGTCACTTCTGAGTATAAGTTTCCGTTACTGTTTTCAATTATAACCAAAGTTTAAATACGTTGACACGTTTCTAAAAGTCCCTGCTACCAGTTTTAATATAATACTTTCAACGATTCTCAATTTCTTACACGCGACAGATAGACAGACAGATGAACACGAAGTTAATAGCAATTTAAGGACTTGCATAGTATTATCTGGGAAAGTGTAGAAACACTGATCATGTATTTTTTTTTTTTAGAAATTAACATTATTATTGATAACTATCTTAACATTAAACACCATTTTACACGAGAACACTGCCTTTTCCGTTCGTTATTCTGCTTCGGTGATAAATTATTATGGACATGTGAGAAATGCTTCAACGCAGGTTTATAGGGCTATAAAAATAACTAATAATACGGGTTCTATTTCTGGGTGGTGACATCGTTCAGACGAAGATTGTATTACGGACGTTTCGGAGAACGTAGCTGCCGTGATCTTTGCCTTGAGAATAGAGTCAGCGAGCATTAACTAACGTCGGAAGCTAGCTTACATCTGCACAGTGCAATCAGGTAGAAACACGATCCACTTAGACGCTGAACCGTGGTGAAATTTTCAAATGTAGAAAACGATCAAGTCAGTAATAATATTAAATAAATAAATTACGATTAACTTCACTTAAAATGTTATTTTTGTAACTCAAGAATACTTCACTTTTCTATCATTAGTATATCTAACAAAAAAATTGGATTTAGGAATTAACACATTTCTAGTTCCAATTGTATAAAATTAGCTTTTTTTTTCAAACAAATCCATGAATTATTCTAGCAGAAAGACAGGTGATGGTGTAATATGCATTACACACTATATAAAATGACTTACAACGATTTACTTATTTTACTTTGCATATTACATTTTAACTGTTATTTACGTACAGAATTAAATGCAACATTGATATTAACTTAACCATAGAATTTTTGACAAATTACCTTTCAGAAATTTCCACAACAAACCTGGTAAAGAAGAGGAAAAGATAATACTCTGGTATTTTATATTCTCTTTTATTTTGGTTTAGAGTGTATAAATTGTGGTACTGTTCCCCATTTTCTTTCTAGTGAATGTTGTAGTTGTGACACTGGGTATTAAGCAAGCGAATTATGCTCCATATAAATGTGCGTCCACAATTATTTATTCTAAGTAATTAATAATTTATGCACTGGCGCAAAAACAGTGCCAGAAAGTACTGTAATAAAAATTCAGGTGTACTCGGCGGATCATTAATTTAAATAACTGAAAAAAGGTACAGAGAACAACTAGCTCCACAAAAGCCCGTTTGTCTTAATTTTCGTTAAAATGCTAGCCAGCACTATGTGATGCAAAATTTTTCACACATTACACGATTCAAAGCGGCACATGAGTGCATTTCATATGATTATCAAACAATAGCAACGTAAAAATTGTGCCAACTTTACGATAAATCTGCAATTTTAAGAGCTCTCCCATGGTAGCAGTATTGTAATAGGCATATTATTCATACAAATAAATTGTACTTTTACGTTAAAATTTGTATTTATAAGCAAGATTATTTTAAAATAATGACTATGGCTCTATATATTAAAAAAAGTTATAGTACAATTTTTTTTCCAAAATGTAACTGATGTGGAATTATATATGTATACAGCACTGAAGATAAAGATGCAGTTTAATTCTGATATCGCTTTTTAAACAGAAATCAATATTTCTTTTAGTAGATTCGATTGAAATTTTTTCATCCTGAATTCACTCCATTACATTATTTTACTAGTTGCACGTGTAATCTTTAACTAAATGCATTTTTTAAAAAAAAACAATAGCCCATTTATTAAAAAAATTAAATTATTTTCGTTGGACTGAATCGTGTATGCATGTTTCACTTCCCTTCTCTTTCAAGCTCCTAAAGCTTCTAGCATATAGAGTTTTATGGGGGTTAAGTGCAGTTTATTCAGCGTTTACTGTCAGCAGTAAAGGAATATGGATAAAACTGCCATACTAACACAATATTTAACGCCTAT